CTTGTATGTATACCTTTGTATCTATTGTTGGGTACATTAGACGTATGTTAAAATAGAAAATAAGGGGGCCTGCTAGGTAACCTTGCTGATGAGACCACTAGCAGGCCCAGGTCGAAACGCATCCCTTCCTTTTTCACCCCTTCCAGGACTATCTCAACACTGAGAAGAACACAGTCAAGTCTCCTTATAACGCGTTTTTCGTACAACAACATGCCAACAATTCTGATCAAATTGAAGACGGTTTCATAAGAGTGTTTGAGAATAAAACATTTGTTTCAGAAATAAATATAAATAAGAAGAAATATATGTACCAGTAATTATACATAAAACAGAATAAGAGAACTTATAATAGGAAAGATTTTAATAAGGGCTTTGACAGGCCCTAAAAGATAATTATATAAAACAAAATACTAAGCCGTTTAATTTTAACATGCTAAAATTAAATTATGATGCATCACTAATATGTATCAAATTAAGTTTTCTGTTAGAAACAATATTTTTAATTTATAATTTTATTATATGAACTATATATTATATTTGATAAACCTAAATTCAAATATGCAAAAATCTGCATATTCGTTGCCATGTCTATCATAAAATTTTATTTATTAACTTGATTAACTTATCAATCACAACTTGCTACTTGGAGAATGCAGTTCTTGTCCAACTGACTAACTGATTTCAGTAACCTCACAAATACTTGGCACTGAGACTACACGTAGCTATGACATTGTCGACAAGTGTTTTCAATTGTACAAGCTCAATAAGCAACTTCTATAATATAGTATCACTCCAACAGTGTAATCCCAATATGTTTCTATAGTATCTTCACAACTGCACTTCTCTAAGATTTTTAATAATGCCAATTGAACAGAACAATTCTGTAATATCACCAATAGTATAAGCCCAATAACGTACTCCTGCAGTGGCTTCAAGAGTGTACTTCTATAGTATAAACCCAATATGGCACTTCGGTAATATCTCCAATAGTGAAAGCTCAATACTGGACTCTCGCAGTCTCTTCAAGAACACACCTCTATCCTCAGCATAGATCCAACAGTGTATCGCTATGTATACTCTCTTCAATGGCATAACTCCAGAAGTTTACTCCTAAAAAGATAGCAAAATCCAATCATCGTGCAATACCATCAGGAAAGAGTATAAACCAAATCAAAAAGTTTCACAAGATTCCTATGAAATCCCGCCAAAATCCGTTGCATGTGGTCTGTTTATGCCTGGATACTTCAGTCCGGTCGTCGACCAGCGTTCCTCAGAAACTGCGACATTTTTCCTGGTGGAAGAGCACTTGGTGAGATTACATCTTGTTCTGAGACGTGCAGGGGTAACCTTTCGGGATTCCGGGAACACGAAGACGACGTCAGTGGAAATTATGCGAGACGAACGAGAGGGAAACGCGAGAAAGAGCCTTTAATCTGTTTAAGTAGAGCAGTAACCAGGAAGAATCTTTCGTTCCACGAGGTGCTCGTCGCACCGACACCGTGTCAGGTGTAATTGCTCGGCGGTAATTACGCGGTTGTTAATTGCTCCGCGAGAGGAAGACGAGTGGCTGGCTGCAGGCATCGGGGTCGAAATATCTTCAGTGATTACAAGCTGCCGGTCCTGGGAAGTTTAATTAGCTCATTCTTAAGCTTCGATCCTGATGAAATTAAAAGCTCTTCCTGCAATTCGTACGAAACGATTTGATATGTGTATAAGTGATGGGATTGGGAGAGAAATTGATTTAACTTTCTCCAATCATTTCTTCTTTCCTAGGAGCTATTTCACAGGAAATATTTTGTCTCACAGAGGAACTTTGTTATAGATAATTTTTCCAAGTTTGGAAGCTATTTTTAATGCCTAAAAAGCACAACTGAATTTTTGAACGCAATTTTTTGTATAAAATATTCCTACAAACTGGGAAAAGAAGAATATCAATACATTCTCTGAATTAATTTAAAGTGACGAAATTGCCTAACATTTCTTAGGTAATAAAGAAATTATTTCTTAAGATTTAAAGATTACTCTAATTTTAGAATTAAGAGTACTCTAATTCTAAACACTTAAAGATTGGGTGTGTTTGATTAATAATTAGAGAGATCAAAATTCATTCATATTTTCAAAATACATTAAAAGTAATGAAAAATGGCAATTTTTGGTAGTAGTATCATATTAACTATTAATTATTAAGATGTGTTTATATGATACTTTTGTTATCAGTCAACAGGTAAATTTTTATTTATTTATGGTAATACTTCCTGATTGTTTATATAGTTCATACAATTTTCATTAATATTATTTCAATAATCTAAGGTTTTAAAACATGTAATATTTTCTAATAAATAATATTGTAATTTTATAATATGCTTATTTAATTCTTTTTAACTTTAATTGTGTTTAGTATTAATAACAAAAAGTCTACTGACTAATGAGATGTATTTAAGGATTTCATGGTATATTAAGTAGATATATATTTAATATAATAATTACTTGAGTAATGTGTTCAATAAACATTCGTAAAATAATTACCTGAATTTCTTTTCAAAAATTATTAAAAATTCTGCATAATATATAACATTATTATTATTTCTTTCAGGGTAAATACTCAATCCTTTAAGAGAGTAAGAATATTTTATGTTTATAAAATATTTAAAAATATACTTCAATTTGTACAAGAAATTTAGATGAAGATAAAAATAAAAAAACAAATGTATATCTCTTGAATTACACTATTGCTTGTTCTTATTGTGATTATAATATTTACAACAAAATTCTTTGCATAATTATACATCTGATGCTATTGAGGTTCAAATAGTATTAATCAATCATATATCAACATAATACATATGATGAAATATAATAAAATTTATTTTTAAAAGATATTAAAAAATTTTACTTTTTACTCAATCCACCATATTTTCCAATGTAAGAAATGTAAGTTAAACAACTTACACGGGTATTTAAGCAATGGTTACCTATTGTATCTTTCATCACAGTGTTGGGGAAACTTTAGAAAATTCAGCAGCCATTGTTAAGAACTTGCAGCTGAATTTACACTGAGAGAGTCATTCGTTTTAGTTTCAAGACTGTATTTTCTTAAAGAATGGTGGCTGTTTGGGATTTATCAGTTGACTTTTCTGCAAAAGTTCTCCAGCTATACTTTCCCAATAGCAATTGATGTTTTGTAAGCCCACATGCTTCAATAGTCCGGAGAAGGGACTTAGAATTTATGAGTCGGTTTCCTTACACAAAGGGACCCTGTGCAACAGAGAACTGCTAGGTAACTAGAAAACAGTACCTATATATTTGTTATTGGATCGTTTATGTCCTCACCTCGCGCTTAAGGGCACCTACCAAGGATATCTTGAGAAAAGTGGTATAAGGCTTTGAACATAATACTATATTTAACTTGAGGTGGTGTATTTGCATGGATTGACTTACTAGACTTACTAGACATTATGAATTGGACATAATGCATAATAAGACATCATTATCCTTTTTGATATTATCTATTGTTATAATGTATTCCTATTATTGGATACATATGATTACTGGTAAGATATATAATTACGTATAATTATTATAATTAGTTGTATATAAAATTAGTATATAGTTAACAAAATTAATATGTATATAATTGTATAAGTATATTTTTTATATCTTCTAGTTAAAAGGACAAATTTAATGACCTAGAATAAGGCAACTTTCCAGTGATCTTAAATCCCAAAATAAATGGAAAATTCTTGAATATAAGACAGTATAAAAAAGGGGGTGGGGGGCACATAAAAAACTCAAGGTAATCTTGATATCTCAAAAATATGGAATATAAAAAATATCCATCTGATATATCACGTCGTGTGTAAAAAATTGCATTTGAAACATTTCTTTATGTAGACGATAGATAATGAATTATTTCAGATTTAAGAAAAAAAATAAATAAAAAAGAGGTATAAAAAGGTAAAAGGGTACAAAAAAATAAAAGATAAAAAAAAGAATAAAATATTAATCTTGTGCTTAGGAATATAACCATTTGAAATTTATAATTCTAAGAACTTTGGTTAATTGACCCTGAGTAGTATTAATAAAAAAAAATTGTGAAAATCTATAAAGATTTTCATATAACAGTGTATAGCTAGATTTGTAATACTAACTGCAACGTGAATTTACTTACAAGTGCACGTAACCCACCTGTACGCTGCATTCAAGTTGCATTACATGTCTAGCACGTCTATATACGTAGCTTTCTCTTGTTTTATAGAAGCCCGTGCTACGCTGTGACATTTTGCATCTGACTGTTGTCACGCGTTTTAACGTTTCTGGTACGATTGGAATATAGCTACACGCGGTTGAAAATCCGATATATACTTTCTACTTCAGCAGTACATTAAGCGGTACCAAAAAATATAAACGAGCGAGTGCACTTTCAATAACAGCCTGTGGACTCGCTGCGAGTGAATATTCATCGTCACGAACCTTTTATGTATCGATAAGATATTCGCGAGTATCATAACAGTGAGATAGGTAATAATCGAGGCCGTGTTGCATCTGACAATTTGTTTTTTAGCCCGTTCTAACATGTCTGCAATGATTATTCGTTGTAATTATAAACCAAACATAACCATAAAACACTTAGTTTCTCAAGCAGTACGTTTCTCTTCTACAAACATTTAACAAAATTACGCGACTAGGAATCATATTTAGATTGGGCCTTTGATTATAATGGAAAATCGTTTGAATAGATCCAGGATAGCGTATATCTCGAACAGAAACAAATCTAAATATGCGCGAATAGACATATACTGTAATCAAATCCTAATGCACTTACAATATTTACATGTATTTACGACACGCGAAATTACGCGGGATATATCCTGCTGCGCACGCATCGTGCTGCGCAGCAGCGTTCTGCGCCGTTCTAGCACGACGAGGTAGCGTAGTGGGGGAGCTACGTCGCGAAGTTTAACGCAGACATGTGCTTGGTCTACACGATGGTTTATTCTTACCTTAATAGCCTGACTTCCCTGGTGCTGCTGCAGCTTGTACCCGAGGATGTGACACTGTTGATACTCTTGCTACGTCGGCTCTTCAACGAATCACCGAGGTTATACACCCCATTCGCTGTTATAGAAAACGATCTGAGTCTGTAATATTCCACGCCATTCTCTTCTCCTTCGTCGGCCCCGCCAGCGCCGCTACGTTTCGTTTCAGCGAGCATCGGCTGTAACGGACAGAAACGATTCTGTTAATTGATATGGACTTCCCTTCGGAACTCTTTGCATTTTGATACTTCGCAATCTGATTTGTAATTCATAAGAAATCGATGGACTGCATTAATGGAGAAAATAACCGACAATTGAAGCTACGAAATAATGAATAAGTAATGACGTATTGTAAATTTATATGGGAAAACGATTATTGTCCCGTCGGTGAGTTGATTTATACGAACTGATTTTTCTTACGATTGTGAAGATGTATATACATTTACAAATACTTTTTGCAGGTAATTTGAATATTGGAATGTCCACGGATATTCCATACAGAGTATTATAACCACAATCAGCTTTTGTAAATTACGTTTAAAGATGATGTTGTAGATATGTATATGTATATACCTTGCACTTAAGAAACAGAAAACATAAGCTACACATCTTTACAACGAACTTGTATTATAAGTAAAACAGGTATTAATATCACTATTCTTCTAAAATAGTAAGAATGATAAATTATAAGTGACGTGATGACAAATTTATAAGATTATTATTTTTAAAATGTAGTAAACGGAGAAGAGGAAAAAGTTCTTTAAAGTGCCAGGAACTTACCCAATTTAAATTAACCCACACTTTAATTATTAAGACTAGAATTAATTAAGCATACAATTTTATTATAAAAATTGTCTGGTAAATGAATATTGAATAATTATGGGTGAATTAATAAACAATAATTGTCTCTGTGTTTAATATGTAGAATAATGGATTTGGTTTAAAGATGAAGATATTTGTAAGACTGCTGATTTGTTCGCGAAAAAGGTTGTTAAAATGTTCTTTAATTTTACGTCAAGAAAAGAAGGGACATTTATCTGTCTACTATGGTAGATGTTGAGACCTTTCTCTTAGTATGAAATGCTCGATAAATTCCGAATTTCATGGCCAACGATAACTGTATCGTAGACACATTGAAATTTCAAGAGCATCTCCCAAGGGAAGACAAGTTTATGACGACGTTATTCTACGAATCGGTAGTTAACGTCGTCTGGGGAATAATTTGGAATTTCTGTACAGAATAAGCTGATATATCGTTGTCATTGAAACAACTATTATTACGTTATTTTTCTATCATGGAATTTTATTTATAAAATTTATGGAATTCATCGATGATCATTGTTAGTAGCATAATAGGTTAGGTTAGGTTATATGTGATTTTTGTTCTCAAAATAAATTAATATCAGCTTTTCTAAGAAAGAATTTCGTATTTATATAACTAATAAATTATTTTATTATTTAAAATTTCCAATATATTTCTTTTTAGGTATTTAATAATATTTTTTACCAATATTAATGATGTAGAAATAAATTGAGGAATATCTTCGAAGCTTATCTTTCAAATTAAAAATTTTTTTCATATTTGATTAGCTTTTTCTTCTTCATTTTATCTTCGCTTATTGCTCAAAGCGAGACTTGAACGATAATCATCGAAGGCCTCAAGCTCGACTATCACGCGAGCCCAGTTACATAACCAAATATTTGTGAATTCGTTCGAAAGACCGACATTATCTGGCCGCCTGTGCAAATCGCGAGGAGTGCTGATAGCGTCCGCAGTTTTAAATGTTTGCGTACAGTATGTCACCGTGATAGCTTCCACGTGCGTCGTGGCCGCGTCGAATTTTCAACCAGAAGATCCCTGTACCGATCGGTTCGTTCGTTCGCAAAAAGAGTAAAAGAGGAAAAATTTGATCCCGAACGAAGTTGTTTTCGAGCAAATGTCGATTGCCACTCGGTCAGGAGTCAGTTTTCCGCGTGTAAGTTTCGAACTACGTGGAATTTCGATGGGAACGAGTGAAAGCAACGTGATTACTTAGTCGCAGCTGCGTTGGAAACTGTGATCATAGCTTTGTAATCGAGGTGCAAGAATTTCTTGAATTTCATCCGAAATCGTGGAATCATTTAAAGAGAATTCGAGTTTCGTAGAATGTTTCATTTTCCGGAGTAGTGTTGTGTAATTTTTACAGTAAGTAAAATATATCTCTATTCGCGAACAAATATTGGAATATTATACATCAAATCGTAAAATTTTTAAAATAAAATTTCGATAATTATAGTTTGGTCAAAAATTTGTCGATGAGTTAGGTTAAATATATTTAGGTATATTTTATTTACAACGAAAAATCATTTATACCTTCGTGTTCATTTTTCGAATAGAGTACTATAATTTTCATGGAAAATAAAATATATCTCTTTTCGAGAATAAATATTTAAATATACACGAAATATACAAATTTTTATAATAATAATTTCGATAATTGTAGTTTGGTCAAAAATTTGCCGATGAGTTAGGTTAAATATATTTAGGTATATTTTATTTACAACGAAGAATCATTTTACCTTCGTGTTCATTTTTCGGATAGAGTACTATAATTTTCACGAAAAATAAAATATATCTCTATTCGAGAATAAATATTTAAATATACACGAAATAGACAAATTTTTATAATAAAAATTTCGATAATTGTAGTTTGCTTAAAAATTTGTCCAGATAAAATATTTGCTATATTTCGATATATTTTATTAACAATAAATTCATTTATACCTTTATTAATACTAAACTCACCATGGCTTAAATGACCATTTTTAATCTTTTGACTTAAAATTCTCCATTCCATGTTATCGCTTTATTCACTTGACAACTTGTTTTGTCACTTACTATACAGGTAGTAAATTTTCCAATACTTCCTCGTACTCCATTTCTTTTAGATCCTTCTTTCCTTGCAACACCCATCAGTCCACCTGACAAGCCATGATAAATTTATCATTAAAAACCTGTCTTCTTATCGTTACTTCATGCAACAAACCTCGTGAAAACATCTAATATTCCGCTTTCATTATCGACATTTTTCCCAAGCGAAATGTAAATCAGCTGCTGGAAAACACGACAGCCTAGTCGTTCCTACCTGCAATCTTACGTAAGAATAGATAATTTTGCTGCAAGGGAAGCCTTCACCTCGACGACTAACCATCGCCAATTCCTAGTAACCATTGGATCCTATAGGAAATCCATTTGTCCAACTTTTGCCTCTAACTTTCACGCGGAAAACCCCAGTATAATGCACGGTTCTCTCACGAGCAACGTCCCGTACGGTTTAACGTGCATCAGACTCGATCAAAGTCTTCGGTTCATCGTCACCGGTAACATCCTTTGCTCCTATGGTTCATTTTTGATCACAGATTTGAGGCTTTCACGGCCTGGTATCACGCGGCTATCAAACTCGAAGCTTTCGAGTGCACGCCCTGTCCTTTTGACGGAAATATACCAACGTTTTACGGACATCGCGGCTAGCTTTATCCCGGATCGAATGACACGCTGCATCGCTTGCAATGTTTGTGAAAATTATTGGGATTTTCCGTTCAAAATTGACGCTCAAAAGAGTCAAAAGGCTAGATTCCTTTTTCAGTGTATCTGTCTTGTCATATAAATTTTTCCTGTCAATAGGGGATCCTGTGGTCATTTATTAATACTAAACGTGCCATGATCGATCAAATGACCGATTGACGAGGAAATAAAATAAGAAAGACTTTAGGAAAGACACTAGGAAATTGAAAAAGAAAAATCGCGAATATAAATGACCAAAAGGTGACGTTAAATGCCAAATTTTTAAATTAAAATTTGAAAAAGATCATTTGAGCTTTGGTAAGTTTAGTGTTAATAGTTTTGTGTGAGTTATTGTTATAGTATAATGGGATGCTGTTAGAGTGGCTTTTATGTATAAAATTATAATAACTCTGCTATTTTGTGCAATAACGATAGTATTCCATAAAGGGGATTATGTTAAACTGGCGTATAATAAATGTTATTTAGTAGCATATTTAGTTGATAAATTATTTTATATTTAACAGTCTAACAGTGTTAACTATCGTAAGATAATATTCTTTAAAGTATAAACAACAAACTGATACTATTTTTTTTTGTTATCGACTTTTCCTAATTATTTTAATTAATAAAATGAAAATAATTTAATCTTTGTATTTTACTATTCACGATAAAACAAAATAGAATTACAATTTTTGTGATAATATAATGCAAAAATATAATAAATATACAAATTACAGACTAACAATATTTTTTATATTGGAAAAAAATGTATTAAAAATTTAAAGAAATTAGTATTCGTTTATCTAGGTTATGACATATGGTATTATAGAAATATACTACCAGGTGGAGTAGTTAGTATTAAAAATAAAAAAAAATAACGAGATATTCGTCATGAAAAAAAAAAAATTTCTTTCGCTGTATAGCACATCACCGCATGTGGAAAAATGGATATTGCAAGAACTGGTGGAATTTTACTGCCAAAGGACGGCTTTGCTTTATCCAATATTCTGAATATTACGCGAATACAGCAGTATTTTTAAATCTCTGAAATACTCAACTGGTAGAAATTTAATTAAAATAATATCTACAATGTAAAACGAATCTCCGACAGCCAAATAATTTATTTCAATTAACAGATGTATAAGGAAAAACAACTGTGTAAGTAAAGAGAAATTAATTATATTTATGTGTTTATTTATACCTCACTGCATAAAAAATCAAAAATGACATGAAAAAAATAATTTTCAGATTTTTTTGGTTACTAAAAGTATGACTTGAAAGTTGACAGATGAATAACCAAAAATTGTGAAACTAACAGAAGCGGATATTTTTTAATTAAAAATTGCACAAAAATTTGTATTCATATATTTTTATAATTTGTAAAGTGTGAAGAAAAGTCTGGAAATTTTGAGATATTTTTGGAATGTATTGGGTATTATGTAAATGAAAATTCGTATGTAAATATTAAGTAATAAAATATTATAAAGCAGAAGAATTTATACACATAAGATGAAACTAGAAATCTAGTTTAATGGTTAAAAACATAGAATGACTATTCTCATATGTTTTCTGTATGGTTAGTAGAAAGAAAAATATATAATATTAAAAAAGTAAGTAGAAATTTCTTAAGTTCAT